CTTATAATTCTTGTTTTTAATTGCGGCAAAGGTAGACACAACAAAACATTATCCACTTCAACAACTTGTCCATGTATAATTCATGTCACTGATTAGCTCTTCATGTTGTACAACCATTATTGACATCCTTTTCCAAGTTATTCCTCCACCATTAACATCAACTCAGTGCCCCTATGGACAAAGTCTTCCTCCTTCGTCCATGGTGACCATAGGTCAAGTTTAGTTTATTCTCTTTCTTTTTTCAGTAGTATTCTTGATAGAATATTCACATATCATACACTTCCATAGTTAGTTTTTTTAAGTTGTATATACAGCATCACAATCAGTTCTAATGCTCCCTGCCCCCAAATTGTGTTTTCACCGATGTTTTATGTGGCAATGAAAATGAAGAAACTAGTTATGTTTAATTACTACGGATTAGTCAAAATTCATATGTGAAAGTCTAAAAGCGATTATATGCATGTGGTCTATGTCTTTGAGTTCTCTTTTACTCTTTTGATAAAGTCTTTTGATGTACTTAAGTATCTCTTGGGGGGGGTGGCGTGTTCCAATCTATTCTCTGTGTGTGTGTGTGTGCTTCCTTACATTTGATAGTATTAGTGGTATATTTTGAGTCGGCATTGACCTGAAAGCAGTGGGTTTGGTTTTTGTTTGCATGCTGTATCTTAGAGCCCCACAGGAACCTGGTGGCATAGGGAGCTACCCATTGAAATCCACCAGCCACGCTCCAGGAGAAAGCTGAGAATATCTGCTCCAGTAATGATTTACAGCCTTGGAAACTCCCAGGGGCAGTTTTACCTTGCCTATATGGTTGCTGTCAGCCAGAATGGACGCCATGGCAGTACTAGAGCCCTTAGTTTGTTGCTATTCTTTCACTGGTGATCTTCAGGGTTTACAGATAGAGTTTATATGTAGGTCTACTCTCCATCCTGAGTTCACTTTTTTAATATGGAATGCATAGTGAGTCCTGCTCATTCTTCTGCAGATGGAAGTCAAATTTTGCCAGCCCCATTTGTTGAAGAGACTATCTCTTCCCCATATACTGTATTTTGGGCCTTTGTCAAAAGTTAGCTATGTGTAGGAGGATACATTTGTTTCTTGGTTCTCAGTTGTTTTATTGGCCTATATATCTGTCATTGTCCTGAGTACCATGCTGTGTAATAATAGTTTTGAAGTCAGAAAGTAAGAAGCCTCCTCCTCTGTTCTTTGGTAGGGTTTTGTGCCTCTCCTTTCCATATAAACTTGATGATTAATTGACATATCTCTTTAAACAATGATACTGGGATCTGAATTGGAATTGCATTATATTTGTTGTTGTTGAGAAAAGGTATTTGTGAGGAATAAGTTGTTCTTGCAAAATTCTTTAATGTGATTCCCACTAAGGCCATATTTTCCAACTACCATTCCTTCCTCTTTGTTTCCAACTTCTGCATTCCAGTCCCCAGTAACTATCTGTGCATCTTGATTGTATGTTTGATCAATTTCAGACTGAAGATGTTGATAGAATTCTTCAATTTCTGCTTCACTAGCTTTAGTGCTTGGTGCATGCATTTGAATTATGGTTGTATTAACTGGACTCCCTTTTATGCAGATAGATAGTATCCTATTCCAGACGGCATTGTACTTCAAGATAGACCTGGGAATGTCCCTTCTGAATGCAAAGCTGTTCCTCTTGCATTTGTCATTCCTAGCCTAGTAGACCACATGGCTTTCTAATTCATACTGGCCAGTACCAGTTCATTCAGCTCACTAACACCTAGAATAGGGGTCTTTACACACTCCATTTCATTGTTGGCAACCTCCAATTTTCTTAGATTTATACTGCTGTCCATTCCAAGTTCCAAGTCTGAATTGACGTTTGCAGTGTTTCTTCTCAATTTGAGTCATGCCCCATCAGCAAATGAAGGTCCCAAAGCTTTACTGCCACAGGCTTCAGTCCACCCAGGTAATTTTGATCAACTCTTCTTTGACAAGATAGCGCTCCCTCAGTCATATTCTGAGTGCTTTCTGACCTGACGGCCTCCTCTTCTGGTGCTATCACTGCCGGTGTTCTACTTCTGTTCACTAGGTTTTCCGTAATTGACAATGTTTCCATGCCGTCTTCCTGGTTTTCAGTGCCTAATTCCTCTGAAGTGGACAGCCGATTCCTTCTTCATGATCTGCGCCTAGTCTGGAAGCACCACTGAAACCTGTTGACGGTGACCCTACTGGTATTTGAAATACCAGTGACATAAATTCCAGCATCACAGCAG